GAGTCAAAGCTCTGACGCCAGAGAAGAGACCGGCATGCCCCGATATAACCCGTGGCCTTGACGGGCCATACCGGAGGATTCACATCAACAACAGCGTCGGGCGTACCGGTGTTGTTCTGCCTAAACCCCATACGAACACTGACGGACGCGTCAGTTCACCACAACGTTCGCCAGGACAGAGTGGAGCACCATGACCGGCATATGACGCCTGCGCATGGTGCTAGCGACGGACAAGACCACGACGCGAGGCCGTCCCCGTTGACATCTACAGGTCGGCGGGACCCGCATGAAGGAGAAGAAGGACCCGGCGATCCTAAAGGCCTTCGGCTCTCTCTCTCGTTCTTCTTTTTTCTCCGCTGTAATCCATGCTTTCCCTTGGCCTATAAAAGGGAAAGCAGGGCGTCCCATAAGGGGCATCGGAACACATCGGATCGATTCAAGCTAGATCCGAACAGACCCATCAAACCCCGAACACACGGCTGAGCAGCAACCGAGCTCCCTCAGCACCCGTTTACTCCGGGACCTGTCCCTCTCTCGTCCGTTTTGTAACCCCTACTGCGAACTTTCGGTGCTAGTAACACGAGCAGCAGCAACGAACTGGACGTATGGACATTTCGCCCGAACCATTATAAACCTCGTGTCCTCTTAGCACATCATCCGAGCCAGATGCACAATATTAGAAATTTATTTATCGGTGACAACTCGAAACACCGTCAAAGGCCATACTTGCAAATCGAGCAAAAAAAATGGCTACTCAACAGCTGACCAATTTATAGTACATAGAACAGGTCAAGTTCGCCTGTTGGATAATGCCCATCAACGATGCTCTTCCAGTATCCCACGGTCGCGCACCAATCTACATGGAAAAGAGGGTACCGCTACTACTCCACTGACCATGAAGTAACTCCAACCCCTTAAAGAAGTAAGGGAGACACAAGTGGCGACGGTGTCCTGGACCAAACACAGATCCCCAATCCCAGTATGATGCAATCCCGCGCGATCGCAGCAATCAAGTCACCAATCTAGCACAGGGAGCGCTGACAAATCCGTCACCAAATCCGTCACCGAGCGAGATTTCCAAGAACGGGATACGGGCAATCCGGCTAGAAAGTGTGGAAACCAATCGCAGTCTACGCGCGATCGAGAAGGTAAGCCTACTAGAGCTGGAGGGGATGAGGGGAAGGCCGAAGGCGGCGAGACGGACCTTGGTCTTGGTCTCGACGCGGACGTTGAGGGACTGGACGCGGGTGGTGAGGGCGCCGGCGACGCACTCGCCGGCGAAGGGGTTGAAGAAGTGGAGGCCCGGGTCGGCGAGGCGGAGGAAGCGGCCCCACTTCTCCACCACCGCCACGCTGGCCTGGTCCACGCACCCGCAGAAGAGGAAGAAGGCGTTCACCATCTCGCTCGGCCCTTGAGCGGCGTGAGAGCGGGGGATCCCTCCTCGATCTCGTGCCGGTGGCTGCGGCGGCGGCAATGCTCCTGTGCCTGCCCGCGCAGCGTGTCCCCTTCTCCGGCAGCGGGTTTGGTTCACGACGCGACGCGACCTTGCGTGTGGGTGGGTGGACGCGTGGAAGGAGCAAATAAGCTGCGTAAACAGGCAGACAAGAAACTGTATCAGCAAAGCAGCTCAAGGCGACAGACCGGCAACTTGTTTCAATGTAGCCAATCTTATCCGGCACCGTCATCAATATAAGCTAATATGTAAGATGGCTGGCATTTATTCTCTACTGGCAAGGAAATATCCATACAAAATCCAAGAACTTATTTAGATTTAAGCATTGGTTAGACAGACTGCATTCACACTCACTTGAAAACCAACTCAGGGATACAGACCGCAGAAACACTCACTTTTAAAGCGGTGCTATACTCAAAGGATTATGACCCAGCTGCATCAGCAAAGACCGTTTTGCGTCAGCCTAATGAATAAGTGATTCCAAAACCTGAAATTGAAGAGATGCAGTTAATGAATGATTAACCATGTTTTTTTCCAACAAAATCTTATTCTGAATTAACGATGTATAGATAAAAGGGGTTAGATTGAGGGATGAGGACAACTTGTTTCAATCTAGCCAATCTTAACCGGCAGCATCATCAATATAAGCTAATATGTAAGATGGCTGTTTATTCTCTACTGGCAAGGAAATAGCCATATGAAATCCAACTTATTTAGATTTAAGCATTGGCTAGTGGCACCTGTAAAATTATCGGTGGATGCACACATTTGTTGGATCAGAAACAGCAATATCCCATAGGTACCCATCATCCATGGAAGGAATGCCACCTATGATCAATTTATATAGACATGACAATAAGATGTCACCTAAAACGAAGGAAACATGAGAATTGAAGAACCCATTTTTTCTTTATAATAGAAAGGGCAAATATGTGTACCAAACTGATTTGAGAACACGCTCAAATGCTAGATGGTTAGCACGGACCATCATGTTCATAATAGGAGTAGCTTACCCACTACACTTCGAGTTCCTTGTGGAGCATGTTTTTTAGGTCAACAGTTAACCTGATAAGCAGCAAGTTCAATTAAACAAACCAATTTAAATATGTGAGAACATCAAAAGAATCAGCTAAGCAATTTTACACACACCAAATAAAAAAAAAAGTTAGGACCTCATATTCGCACGCCTCCAAAAAATACACAATCAAATATGCTAGGACCTCATATCTGCACGCCTCCAAAAAATACACAATCAAATATGGTTGGGTCGCTTGACCTTCACGAACCTGGCACTCCGACGGCCGTGTGTCGCATTGGGATAAAAAAAAAATGGCCGTGCACTAAATCTGGAGGACAAGGTCCGCGCTAATTAATGCGCCGCCTGCGCCGTGTTACCAGCCGAGTCAAAGGGATTAATTAGGCTTAAAGATTCTGCAGGGGTCAGCACTACTCCGCGTAATTAATTATTTTTTTAATTCTATATTTAATACTCCATGCATGTGTTAAACATTCGATGGGATAAGATATAAAACTTTTGGGAAGAACTAAACAAGACCTTAATGGTGCGCTGACCAACTTCGGCGGTTTCAAAACTGGAAGAATAGCAAGATGCAGTTCCCTCGTAAACCGTAAACCATGCTAGTGTGCATAGCAGCACTTAAATTTATCTTTTGTGTTTCATTCTCTAAGTTGTCGTGAACTTGTGTACCGGAAAATTAATTTAATTTGAATATATCATGGCTGTCTAATCTTAGATGTATGTTACTATATAATATATTTATGTGCATTGATTGTCACTGTTAGCAGAAAAATTGCAAAAATAATACTCAAAAGATTAACTTCTCAATTACGATGACACTCGGGTGGATAACAAGTGAATCCATTTATGTCTATAAATATAGATCCAGTATCAAATCTGCAAACGACCAATTTCGAGTCCCATTTTTTCAAATCGCCAGCGTCGCAGTCTCCCTAAAATTCCTGGCTCCGCTAGTACCCAGGTGCCGAGGGACTCCAGCGAGGTTGGCATGGTCGAGGTCCCCCACGGTCCGGCTCGGGCGAGCTCGGACCGGGCCAATCTCTAGCGTGGCGAGCTCGGCGGAGCTATGGCCAGGCGATCTTCGCACGGCGAGCTCGGGGGGACTGTGTGGGGGTGTTGCAACTTGCAAGGCGTGAGGGCGTGTTTAACTTTCAAGCCAGCGTACGGGCGGCCTGCGCAGTGAGAAGAACGTCTGACAGTGGTGAAAGGTGGGAGAAGCTCAGCTCATCCATCCTTTTGAATCCCAACTACAGAAGCTCAATGCATCCCATCCTTTCAAATCCATCCCATCCTTTTCAGTCCAAACAGAAAACAAAGATCGTCCTGTCAACCGAATATTACCGATTAGCAACATTGATTATCACTGTTAGCATGCAAAACACTATTCCATATCCGTCAAAGTAATCACCGCATCTCCTGGCTCCATATCCAGTACCCAATAATCACCGAGGGACTCCAAGACAAGAAATAAAATAGAATAAAACTCCCACGGTCCGGCTCAAAGACACTCGGAAAGGCAAGTAAATAAAATGGAATAAAACGTGGCGAAAATTATGGCAGAGAAATGAAATTTATTAGAATATCACCACGTAATGAGCACGATCGGATCCAAATCTCGGGTGTTGTCTTTCTTGCAAGGCGTGAGGGCGTAAATATTTTTTCCTAAAAATAAATTATTGCCATGCCTCATACGGCAAGGATATTATAAGTCCGAGTATACATGTTTGACAAAAGTGAAAGGTAGATAAATTCAATTCATCCACCCTTTTAAATTTTCAACTTTTGAGACAACTCAATGCATCCCATCCTTTCAAAAGCTCCATCCTATCTTTTATTTTAAATTCATTACGATAATAAATGTGTTTCTAGACATTATCAATCCGTGAAAATTGAATTAATATATTTTTTATTTTAACCTAACTAACAAACATCTCATTCAATTTATGTTACACCCGTTGCAACGCACGGGCACTCATCTAGTGATAAGAAGATCCCATCCAAAAGAAACAGGGAAAGAAACATATGAATCCATCTCGTCCTCGAACCAAACACATGCTAAGCACACTAACTTGTCTGCAAAATATTAGCAACTTGCAAGTATCATTGGCAGTTTTGCCTTTGAGGCTCAGTGAAATCTCAGAATCGTGACGTGTAGCCAGGGAGTTAGGGAACTGAACACATCAGCGAGCAATTCTCCCAGGCGTTTCTTCACCCGCAGGGATACAAAAATGGGGCCAGTTGGGTACCAAGAGGCCAGATAGTCAGTTGCCAAGCATCCGCTATCTCACACCCTAACTAGACCAACAGTCTGCGACAAAGTAGCAAGTATCCTGGGCGGATTGGAAGGTCGCCAGCCTTGGAGACTCTGAGAACACTCATCATCAGGGAGTTCAGCACATTAGCGAGCAATTCTCCCATCTCCCCGGAGCACTTCAGCCCACAGGGATATCCTAACTATACAAAAATGAGTACCGTGGGTTACCCAGCGATCAGTGCCCTGATCAGTTTTCACCATCGCTTGTTCGGGTGCAGTTCTTGGCTAAGGCCGAAGTGCAATCCATCCACACTTGCTCCAGACTGAAGAAATGCACACCCATTAATGGAGTTCCTCCCAGAAATGAAGTAATAGCTATGCATGTGAAGCAAAAGAAAAGGCACATACAGGTTTTTCATGTCGAAAGTATCAACCAAACGCTTCAGTATATCCACCAAAAACTTGTCGAAGTGGTATGATAATAAGTAGTCTACCTCCTCCAATGTTGAAACTGTGGGATTCCCATTTGTGTCCTGTTAAAGGCATAAAAATGTCTGTGATTAGAAACACATCATTCAAACCAGGGGGGGGGGTATTGTTTTTTGGTATACAAAAAAGAGATGCAGCACATATAAGTACATAACTTTTTAAAACCCTTTGTCTACATAAGAATGAAATTTTCTTTAACTTGGTTTGAGATCAACCATCTCCATGACCAATTGACTTCCAGTTCAACCCATCTAAGACCTATCACTCCCCCAGGACTATATACATGCTGAAGGAGAAAGCATTACGGCGAATGTGGAAGGAAAGATACAACAACAACAACAACAACAACAACAACAAAGCCTTTAAATCCCAAACAAGTTGGGGTAGGCTAGTGGAAGGAAAGATATACGAAAAAAATGATTGGACAAAGTGGGGCCATCCATCAAGCTAATCAACTTTGGGGTTGTGTGTTAACAAAGCGACTGTGGCTAAATATGGAGATATAATTAGTGCAAAATTGGAGACATCTGAATGTGCTAATGACCAGCGCTGGTAGTGCTATAAAACAGAAAACGCTGTGCTGATCAGTAACATGGGATTCCTGGTTGCACTTTCTTATTTTGTAAACTAGCAACCTGTAGTACTCCCGATCCTCGCTCTTTTTTACCATTCTTGGATCTGGAGTCACCTTAGCTCTTTTAGCACATGTCAATCTGCTCCTAGGAAATAGCAACTTGGAAACACTAGTACCACACATGATGTATGCAAGGAGGCTGCCTCTACCCACATACTGAGTTTTGCTTTGGTAAATAAAACTTGGTACATGAATATGCAGTTTTAGTTCTAATTATGCACATTTGTAAAAGCATCAGAGCCTAGTAAGCCTTAAAAAATTCTCATCAACACAGTGATATGCACTTTAAGAGGGTGAAATTACTTTCTACAGCTACCTCTGTGGCTCTTGTATTTATGGTACAACAAAAGAAATAGGATGTGTCATTGACCAAAAGCATCATCCTAGCATCGTTGTTTGATCAGGGCTTCAAAGGATGGAACTTCATGAGGTTACTACTGCTTTCAAAGTTCAAAAAACTTTACTCCACCCTCACATGGGGAAAAATCCTTACTTCACCATCATCTCCTGCCACTAAAAGTTGCTGAGACCATGGTTAAAGGTGTAGCCCTGATTACAACTGCAGATTCAGGGGTTCCTGAATCCATGCAATCATTGAAGGTGCTATTTTATACTACACTGGGATTTAGGATGGAAAAAGGATATTATAATAAAATTGATGGTTGCAAAAGTGTCTTGTTTGTGTGTGGGGGTGGGTGGGGAGGATAAACTAAACCTCTTAGTAGGTGTATAGCAGTTTTTGAAGAAGATCTGACTTTGTGTCATGGAACCATGACTTGCCTGATCTTGCCACCTAAGCCATTCCTTTTGCACTAACATTGTGAGCAAATTGTGTTAGAAATAACTATATGAGCCTTGTGGTAGCAAAACAAAAAAGAAATTTCTTCCCACAGAGGAATCTTCATGATTGCAAAACAATCATTCTACCATTCTTGGACATTTTAATATCACAGAATAATCACTGGATAGAAATAATCACTGTGTAAATTATCCTTCTGTCAGGAAGTCTTTTCAATTGACGACTCCATGATTTGGCTTCCAGGAGATGCCTGCCTGCCATTCATAGACCAAAAACAAAATTCCTACTTTTTTCTTAACATCTGTCCTAACCCTGCTTCATGTGTTCTTGCCACCCACCAACGATTAAAGCAGAATATTAGGAGTGGAAGTGGAAGGCAAATTATGAAAACACATTTTCTACATGTGTACCACCATGAGGAACGAGATTAAAAACTCCTGGACATGGGGTTATATGGTGTGCACTGATAAGAAGAGAAAATGCTCTTAAAACCCTTTTGGAAAACAAGAAATGTCCTCAGTTTCAATGTCGAGATCAACAACAACAAAGGGTTATGGGGGTAGGCTAGAGTTGAAACCCATAAAAAAACAATCAAGGTCTAGTGCACGTGAATAGCTGTCTTCCAAGCATTCCTATCTAAGGCTAAGTCTTTGGATATATTCCATCCTTTCAAGTCTTTTGCTTGCTCGGTTTTTTATTGCCTCTACCCAAGTTAACTTCGGTCTTCCTTCCCCTTTTTCAATGTCATCCTCTCATTATTCTGATTCCAAAACACAACCATGGTGGACCAAAGGGGTCCAAACCATCTCAACCGTGTTGGACAAGCTTTCTTGAATTGGCGCCTCATTTGAATCTCACCAATATATGATGACCCATGAACTCTTATCTATTGATGTCACATAAATCAAGCACAAAAGCAATGCTACAAAGGATAAGGCTAAGGCCTGAGAGGCGTACCTTTAAATAATCAACAACATGGACTACAAAGTTCCTTTGAAATCTGAGTAGATCCATTCCAGTAGTACCATAGGAACTGTGTATATTGTGCTGCTGCTGCATCTGCTTCATGTGCTTCAGCTTCACCACTGACAATGGTCGACCCAAGTACACTTGAGCAAAGACTCTATCCATTATGACCCTCGTTCTCCAATCTTTCCGAATGCTGCCATCTTGATCAACAACTCGCTCAAACTTCTTTTTATCATTGGGACTCAACACCTTGTAAACTCTCACAAGATTGAAGATAAGATTTGATCTACTCATCGATGGAAGAAAGGCCATATGATTGCAAAGAAACATAGTGAATCTATCCATTGACTTAGTGTCGGAAGGAACATCTTCAGGAATATTCCGCAAAGCAGTGCAAAGTTGTGTAAAAAATGGAGGATCATTATGTACACCACTAGTGTTGAGAGTGTAGTGATGCAGCAGTACATCAGCTAGGCGCTTGAAATCCTTGCTCATCGAATCATGACTTGACACCGGAAAGACTTCTTGAGAATATTAATTCATGGCATCTTGTGTGGTATATGCACAACTATCTTACATCCCATGTTAGTGAGTTCAGGTTGACAACACATAGTCCACATAGCCTTGGAAAAGGATGCTTCCAGGATTTTGCACATGGTCTCTACACCAACCATGCAGCTCTAAATGCAACTACATTGAACACAGAAATTGTTATTTAGAGTTAAAAACTCACATATCATGGGGATAATATGCACATCAATGATCCTTCTATGTCCTAAGGATTTGTTGAGACACACATTTGCCAGTGAACTCTTTAGAGTGAAGGTAGCTGTCTTGGGAAATATACCTTTTAGATGCCTTTGGCGATAAGCCTTTGTGACTTCTAGTTTGACAATATAAATAAAAATATAACAACGAAGTAATAATTGAGAGTTGGGCAAATTTAGTCAATCAATCAAGAGGTACCTCTCGGATAATAACTAAATGGAAGCTAAGATTTGAAAACACATGTTCATGTGATCATAATCAATCCTAAGTGTGGGCTTTCCTGGGCACCCATTGAATCTAGTTGTTCTCTAAAAACCCTTTTGTAAAACATTACACAGTCGTTGCTCAAGAACCTAATCCAACCAAGTTAAACATTAGAAACCAAACAAGTTGTTGAAGTTCATGATCAAGGTTCTGAGCAAGGATTTCCACAGCTAACCCTCAGATATATTCCATCTCCACTCAATGTTACCACTTACCGCTCACTACAATTCTCAACACTATGAAGGTGTATATAATGATCCCATCAATTCAGGGTTTCTAATGTTTAACTTCTTCAATTAGGTATAAGGACTGCACGATATCATGTTTTCGCTTAAATAATATTTCTTAGTGTTGAATATGAGATGTTCCTTCCCTTTAGCTTCAGGATTGATTATGAGTCAATGGATAGATTCATTATGTTTCTTTTGCAATCATATGGCTACTTTCTTTCTCGATTTTGTTAAATTTGCTCAATGCAATTATTACTTCAATCTTGTGAGTTTTTACAAGGTGTTGAGTCCCAATGATTCAAAAGAAGTTCCCCAAGATAGTTCTTCACTCTAAAGAACTTGTTGATCAAGATGGCAACTTCCCATGTTCGATAAGTAAACCTTGGAGACAATGAGCATCATAATGGATAGAGTATTTGCTTTTGACCCTCCTTAATAATTTGAGCATTGTCGGAGTTTCGACAACCAACAACCTTAGTCAAAAGATCATGACAAGTGTTGAGACACCACAGACAATATATCCGGTTTCCTATGGTACTAACATGGAATGGAGATTTTCACCAATCTATCTCAGATTTCAAATGAATTTTTCTCAAGAAGTCCATGTTGTTGATTATTTGAGCAAGGTATTTCGCCTCGTCTTCTTTGCATCACTACACTCTCAACACTAGTGGTGTACATAATTCCATTTTTACTTGCTGCTGTAAAATATTCAACCGCAGATGTTCATTCCATTTTACTTCTTCCACACTAAGTCAATGGATAGATTCATTATGTTTCTTTGCAATCATATACCTTTCTTCCATGATGTAGATCAAATCTTATCTTCAATCTTGAGAGTTCATGGTGTTGATCACCAATGATAAAAAGAAAGTTTGAACCGGAGTTGTTGATCAAGATGCTTTCAAAGATTGGAGAAGAGAACATAATGGATTCTTTGCTCAAGTGTCCTTGCTTAGTTGACCATCTTGTCATGGTGAAGTTTTAGATCGCGATGACGCAGTTGACCAGCAGCACAATATACACGGTTCCTATGGTACTAGTGGAATGGATCTACTCAGATTTCAAAGGAACTTTGTAGTCCATGTTGTTGATTATTTAAAGGTACGCCTCTCAGGCCTTAGCCTTAGCCTTATCCTCTGTAGCATTGTTTTTTGTGCTTGCTATGTGATCAATAGATAAGAGAGTTCATGGGTCATCACATATTGGGTGTGCATCGAGGCAAATGAGGGCTAAGAACCTTTTTTTCCCTTTGGTCTTACTTGTGTTTTGGATGTAGTTTTGTGACTTGGTGGAAAAAAGCAGATGGCGTACTAATGAATTCCAACCCCACGACTGGAGGTGCAGGCTCCCACATGAGTGAAGGAAAAACCGAGGCAAGCCTTTCTTAAAAAAATGTGGATCACCATGACTGGTGACTCAATGAGACAGCTCTCACCACTGCACTAGGCCTGCCCTTTTTATCAGTGCACACCATATAACCCCATATATGTAGAGTCTGACATTGAAACTGAGGACATTTCTTGTGTTCCAAAAGGGTTTTAGGAGCATTTTCTCTTCTTATCAGTGCACACCATATAACCCCATGTCCAGGAGTTTTTAATCTCGTTCCTCATGGTGGTACACATGTAGAAAATGTGTTTTCATAATTTGCCTTCCACTTCCACTCCTAATATTCTGCTTTAATCGTTGGTGGGTGGCAAGAACACATGAAGGGTGGTTAGGACAGATGTTATGTTAGAAAAAATTAGGAATTTTGTTTTGGGTCTATGAATGGCAAAAGTGTGCATCTCCGGAAGCCAAATCATGGAGTCGCTTAATTGAAAAGACTTCCTGACGTATGATAATTTACACGCTTCTATCCAAAGGATTATTCTCGTTGTTGTTGTTGTTTTTTGCCATGTTCGCTTGTCTTATAATCAGTACTTTTCAAATTTGTTTTTTTTCAAATTAAATGTTGTTTTTTTTCTCTCACGACAAATCAACCGAATGTTGTTTTGGCTTGTTTTTCAAAATGGGTTAACGGGGCCTTCGATGTCGTTTTTGTTGCACTATCGTGCCCTGTTTGTCTTGTTTGACTGGTCTTTGGAGTAAGTTGCTTTGCGGCTCCTACTAGGATGTGTTTAGTTATAGTTAGTGCTGTGTTCAGAGCATCTCCAAGAGTTTCCTAAATCCCCTCCTAATCCTTGGTTTTTAGAAAGATGAGAAAAAACCCTTCTCCAACAACTCCTAATCATTTCTCCTAAAATTTACGCACTTGGGAAATCCTCTCCCGTTCCGCGTAACTTTGCGCGGCTCCTCCGTCGTGCGGATACAGGTTTCCCACGCTCCTCCATCGCGAGTTCTTCCATCGCGACTTCCTCCATCGCTAGTTCCAGGGTAGACAATCGCCAGATCTCCATCGCCAGTTCCAGGGTAGACGATCGACGACGCCGCGGACATAGCGACGAGGTACGTACTCCATCGATCTTCATTGTTTTGCCGTGGGCTTGCTGCGCCACCGCCGCCGCCATGGTTTCCTGCCGGCCACAGCCGCCGCCGCTAGGTTTGCCTTGCCCGCAGCCGGCTGTGTGCTTCTTCCCGCCACCGGGATTGCCATGGACTGCTGGCGTCCACGGCCGGCTGTGTGCTTCTTGCCGTCGCTAGGTTTGTCGCGGCCGGCTGTGTGCTTCTTGCCATCGCTAGTGTGTTTTGGCCAGCTGCTGGTACCTGGTTTCCTTGCTTGATGGCCGGCTGCTGCTACCTAATTGCCTACTGATGGCCGGCTGCTGCTGCTACTGGCCTGCTGATGGCCTGTACGTGCTGCTTACTACTGCTTGCATGGTACTGTTCATATGGTATTGTTTCTTGGTTGTGATGGTTATGATGTTCTAAACATTACTTTCAGAGTTTTTTTTTGCAAAAATTACTTTCAGATTCTCAGGGTTATGATGTTGTGAACATAATTTGCTTCTACATGGCATTTGGTATTGATTTCTTTGTCCATATTTGCAGGCTCCTCGCAATGTCCGGTAGTGGATATTGGATAGACTTGAAGAAGTGACTTCTCAGCAGCCATGGCCGGCCTACTGGAAGGTGCTACCGGCGGCCTGTGGCTGGGAGGTGGCCACGGCTGCCTGGGATGTGGCCACGGCTGGCTGGATAGAGGCCACGGCCGGCTGGGAGGAGGCCAACACCGGCTGGGAGGTGCAGGGCTAGGGCAACACGAAGGAAAGGAGGCGGCAGCGGCGTACGTTTGCGAGCATGAACAGTTCCACGCAAAAAAAAAAGAACCAAAGAAAAACCCAAGTGGGACCAAAATTTGATTTTTTAAAGTGAAATATTAGGAACTATTGGAGATGGCCTTCTTTTTTTCTCCTAATACCTTTTTTAGAGTCGGAAAACATGAACTTTTTAGGAGGAATATTTAGGGAACTCTTGGAGATGCTCTGTTGTAAGATTTATGGGTCCAGTTTTTTCCTTAAGGGCATGGTTGGAATGTGGATTTACCCAGAACCATCCTCCACGTGCCTGCTGTACCGTCCGGGAAATTTGTCGCTACCGTCACGGGTGCTCCTTCCGTGCTCTAGATTTGGACTCCCGCGCCCTGCCCCGGTTGTTGGCCCATGCAACAGACAGACAGGCAAGCAAGGGCGCGCAGGAATTTTTTTCTACCCGCCGTCGTCCCGTCCGTGACCGCTTGACCTATTTCCCCCCAAATCCTTTCTCCTCCACCTCGTATCCGCCACACACGCCCGCAGCCTCGAGCTACGCCACTCCCAGCGCCGCCAACCGCTGCCTCGGACCTCGCAGCACCAAGCGTCGCTGCCCGCCACCCACGCAACCAGCCACCAGACCCGTCACCCCCGCCCCCAGACCCTAGCGCCGCCGCCCCTCGTCTCGCCATGCGCTGCGCCGCCTCCTCCAAAATCCCGAGCTGCTACCTCCAAAACCACACACCGCAGATGCGTTTCCATGAGATCTGCAGAGTGGGTTGGCTGTTGCTAGGGCCTCGACGTTTGGAAGGACACTGTTGCTGTTCTCCACTGAAGTGCAGAGGCAGCGCAAAGATCGATCTCATCGCCTTCTACACTTCCAGCCACCAATCCTCGTCTTCCGCTGCCACCCAGGTACCGCCAATTCTGTTCTTATGCTGAAAGTGAAAATTTCTTTTTTTTTAAACTGAAGCAAATTCATTTTGCCTGTATGTGTTCGGCTGTGAAGGTGGCTGCTTTCAACCTCACAGATCTGAAG